GCCAACTCATATGGCTGCATCTGCCCCAGATGCCAATGGCCACCACAGTTACCACTGGGTCATGCAGGGGGGCATCCTATGCTTGGGTTTTGCAGTGCTGCTGCCAGGCCATCTGCACGTGAGGATGGCTGCCAAGCAAGAAGCCTTGGAAATGTCATCCTTCACCCAGCCAAGGCCACAGGCACAGGCTCCTGCCTCTGCTCCCAGCTTCCACTACTAGGAGTGTGGGTGGCTGATGCTGTCCTGGCGTGTAACTTCACCTGAGAAGACAGAGGTTAAGTTCAGGGACATGACTGGCCCATTAATGAATTTGTAGTACAGCCTGTTATCTTCTAGGTGAAGTATGTGACATTTTTACTTTTAAAAAATCAATCTGCATTTTGAAATATCTTTATTATTTTGCTTACTTCTGCTATTGATTCAACAGTATTCCAAGTTAATTTTTTATCTGGAATTTCATAATTTAATCTGAGTGGAGAGAGGAATCCTGCAGCAGGACAAATAAAACACACCATATTCCTAGAAGAGAGATAGAATTTGGAAATAAGAATCACAGATATGAAATGCATGTGGAGGGTATGGCAAAATACATCTTTTGACAGTATTGGGCACATGGAATTATAATGACAAGGCAGGCAAGGATCGTTAAAGCCAGAGGGTGAATGTCTTTATGTGTCATAGTGAAGTGATTGATTTTTTTAATTCAATTGAAGTGAGTTAATTACACTTAAGAAGGATTGGGAACTATGGGGCATCACCATTGGGGACTTATGCTGAGAGGTGGTGTGGCCAGGCCACATTATTCACCTGACTCTGCCACTAATTCCAGTGCAGGAGGAGTTGCCTGTTACTTCCAGGTGACAGGCCTGGCTGAGTGAGCATAGATGGCATCCAGGACTCTGAAAAGGATGCATGGAACACGCTACTACTGACACAGAGCCTGACACAGAGCGGGCATAGCCGCCTGTGCAAGCTGACAAGTTACTGGCGTTTTTCATTTACCATAAATCCCTGCTTCTGAAATCTGAGGGGTCTGGCCTATCTGCTCTGCTGACACCCTCCAGTGCACCTTCTCAGAGGAAAATCCATATAAGTTAACAACAATTTTAAAAAATAAAGCACTAACATTACTAATCTGCATGCTGTTGAATTTTTTTTTATTTTCGGGGTTTTTTTGTTTTTTTCATTTTTTGTTTTTTCGAGATAGGGTCTCACTTTGTCACCCAGGCTGGAGTCCAGTGGCACAGTCTCAGTTCACAGCAGCCTTGACCTCCCAGGCTCAAGCAATCCTCCAACCTCAGCCTCCCTAGTAGCTGGAACTATAGGCACATGCAACCATGCCAGGCTAATTTTTTTTTAGACAGAATCTCGCTCTGTCACCAGGCCGGAGTGCAGTGATGCAATCTGGGTAACTGCAACCTCTGCCTCCCTGGTTCAAGCGATTCTTCTGCCTCATCCTCCCGAGTAACTGGGACTACAGGTGTGCATGCATCGCCATGTATGGCTAATTTTTGTATTTTTAGTAGAGACAGGGTTTTACCATGTTGGCCAGGATGGTCTTGATCTCTTGACCTCGTGATCCGCCACCTCAGCCTCCCAAAATGCTGGGATTACAGGTGGGAGCCACCGCACCCATCCCTGCCCAGGCTGGTCTTAAACTCCTTGGATCAAGAGATCCTTCTACCTTGGCCTCCCAAAGTAGTTGTGATTACAGGTGTGAGCCACTGCACCTGGCCTGAATTTTTTTAATTTGGTGTCCGCAGATAAGAAAATGTTTCACCATTTGTTCAAATTTTCTTTTATATCATTTACAAAATTGCTAATGATTTTCTAATAGATACATTAAATGTTTGTTTTTTATACTGAGACAAAAAAATGTAAGAATTTTTAACTGTTTATAATTTTATCAGTTGTGAATTTGGCATTTTTAAATTTATTCTAATAAATTTTCAGTACAATTTATTTTATTCTTGGTAGATATTCATAGCATTCAAAACTCTCAAAATAAATGAATTCTGCCTGTATAATACTTGCGTCTATTTTTATTGCCTCTATTATTGAATTGGCAGAGACTCCAGGCTAAAACCTCGAACAACAGCTGTATCTGTAGCCATCATGTAGGATCCCAGATTAAAATGCAAACAACCCTAGTAACTTTTCTTTAAAAGTAATGATCCCCTCTAGTTTAAAGATAACAATCTGTAATGCGTTATGGAAGTATATTTTATTTCTTATTTTCTATATTTATTTTCATTAAGGCATGAAATACAATTAAATTTAATGGAAAGCCTCATAACCATTTATTAGAAAAATCATGTTCATTTCAGTTTAAATCCTTTGCAATGAGAAAAGGACCAATAAAATGGCCTTAGGAAATCCACATTTTCCACCCTCACAACTGATCCCACCTTAATCCCTCTGGGTCATCATGAGATCCTCATGTCTGAGTCCCAACACTTGCCAAGTAACCTTCACCCTCTTCTTCCAGAATGTTCCAGGGCACTGACAGATCTAAGGCCAGTGTCTTAATTGTGTGACAAGTAGATAGAGTAGTTGTCATCTTTGTCTTCATAAACTGTCATGGATTTCTCTTGATCTGGATAATAAATCACACATTTGCAATCTTGACTCAGCCAGGAGATCAGGAAAACAGTCCTAAGGACTCAGGTGCACAGACACAAGTAGGGCTGGTTTGTTTCTTTTCATAGGGTTTTCTGTGCATGGACAGTCTTAAAATCTGCCCTCACTTGTGTTAGATCCCCTGAAGCACCTCCTCTGTCTTGTTGAGAGGTTCTCTGAGGTGACCCCAGAGCCTTGATTGAGTGGAGAAAGCTCCTGGACGCTGGGTGTCCAGAAGAAAGAGTCAGAGGAAGGGAGGCGGGTGGGAGCCTGAGTCTGGCCCAGCAAAGCTCAGCGGTGACGTTACTGCCATTTTCTGGTGGCTACAAGGCTCCGTCACCCCTTAGTCCTTCCCGTCTTGCCAACATTGTGTTAAGAGACACTGTTCAGGACAAGTACGCATCTATGGGAGAGGATCTCAGTGGAACCGTGATCCTGTGGAACAATCTGTGATTAGAGGTGGAGGATGGGGAAGGCTGAGCCCTGTGTCCTACAAAGGCCCTGAGAGCCAGAGCCACGGGTAGGTGAGCTCAGTGGGAGGGAGAAGGGATTCTGGAAGCCAGTCCTCCATGGGATGGTTTTCAGTAACAGATATTCATATGGACCACTAAATATACCCTAAGGAAACACGTTTTTCGAAATTCCTGAAGGGACATATCTTTTTTTTTTTTCTTTCGTGGTGATGGAGTCTCGCTATGTGGAAGATACTGGTCTCAAACTCCTGGCTTCAAGCAGTCCTCTTGCCTCAGCCTCCCGAATTATTGGGATTATAGGCACGAGTCAGCACACCTGGCACCTAAGAACTTA